GTTAATCCACCTGAAGCCCTCTCAGCCCCACATGGCTGTGGTAAGAGAGGAGTCTGCTAGCACCCAGTGATGGGGTCACACGTCCTCTTCAGTTCACTGCATGGCTGTGTACGCAGGCCTAGTAAAGTGGATTTATGGGCTAAATTTTCCAGTGGTGATTAAATTCACCAGAAGAATAAAGGACATTTTAAAAGTCCTAAAACTGATTAAAACAGCAAACAGGCACAAATTGAAGGTAAAGCTGTTGGAAAACTCAATAAAAATGTAACTGGAGATTTGGAAAAATGACGGAAATGGCAATTACAACAAATTACAGTGTGGGCAGTTTGCTATATAGCTGGCTGAAAGTTTTTAACATGTCGCAGCCTGTGGTATTTGTAAGAATCTGTCTCAATAACCGAATTCATTAGGAGTTACCTTTTGTGAGTCACTAAAAGAAAGATGTATCAAATAAGTCAACCTGGATCATGTATTACTTATTCAAAATGATGTATGTTACAGAAAGCTGGCTAGGTGTAACCATCTCAGCACTATCACCACTAAGGCCTGAGTTCGATCCCCAGCCAGCGAGTGACCCATATGGTGCAGCAGACCTCTCCTGTCTCCCTGCTGCTCCCCTCGGCAGTGGACTTCGTTCATCTGCCTGTTCTGCTCCCCGCTCTGTCTCTGGTGCATCCTCTCCCAGCCCCTGCACCGCTGGCCTGTACCCAATTCTGCACGCATAAATAAATCAATCTTTTAAGAAAAGTTAAATAAGAGGAATATAGGGATATAACTTAGCGATCCAAGAACTATATAAAAGCATGTATTGCCAGTAAAAAGTGCCCTGTGTCTTCCCTTACTCTGTCTAAAGGTTGCCAACATCAATTGCTTTTTACTGTTCTACTATTCTACCCTTTTATGTTACTTTTTGGTTTTTTTCTTTGTGTTGATTTTCCGTTTAAATCTTTTAAAAAATTGGCCCTCCCTGGTGGCGCAGCGGGTTAAAGCACAGCACTGAGAATCTAAAGCCGCTTCCGCATGAGTTCGATTCCCGCCTGCCCCGGAGGTGACCACATGGCGTGGCAGACCTCTCCTGACCCGCCCGCTGCTCCCCTCAGCAGTGTACTTCGTCGATCTGCCTGTTCTGCTCCCCACTCTGTCTCTGGTGAAGCCTCTCGCCGCCCCTGAGCCTCTGGCCTGTACCCCAGTTCTGTATGCACAAATAAATAAATCTTTAAAAAAAAATCTTTTAAAAAATTTTTGTGTCCTTTATTTACCTTCATTTAAAAATACATTTTTCCAAATGTAATAACAATTTGACCTGGGCTTAGATCAGAAAGCATTTAAAATGGCCTCCCATTTTGCTCGATTTTAATAGAAAATTATTAGAAGTCCTACCCCTTACTGTCCCTTCTCAGGATACTTGGGGAGAATCTTTCTTTCTTTTTTCTTTTTTATTTTAAAGATTTATTTATTTATGCATGCAGAACTGGGGCACAGACCAGAGGTGCAGGGAGCTCAACAAGCAGATGGATGAAGCACACTGCTGAGGGGCGCAGCGGGGAGACAGGAGAGGCCTGCCGCGCCCTGTGGGTCACCTCCTGGGCTGAGGATCAAACTAGTGCTATGCTTTAACACATGGCACCACCAGGGAATGCCCTCCTATATTTTAACTTTAATGGAATTATTTGTTCACTGAGGTTGTAATCTAGTTTGTTTTCTTTTTTGTCTTTTTCTGCATCCTTAAATACAACAGCCTTCAAAGAGTAAAATATAAAAACAGCCAGACAACCTTTAAACCACTTTAAAGCAGGAATAAATTACATCTAAAAAGTGTCTAAAAAATGATTGTCAGATTTTTTTTCTTTCAAAATATTTATTTCTAGTAGAAACAAACATACTGGACTATGTACAGGAATACATGTAAAACAGTTAAGAAAAAACCCTTAAGGAATACAGTATTTGGTCATCAAAACAAAAAACCCCCACAACTTCACATTGGCTACTTTGTTTGAAAACACTGTTATCCTGTTCAAGTACCAAGTCCAGGAGTCCCCTACTAAGTGAATTATTCAGACACAGAGCCTCCCACAATAATCATGTACATTTTTTATGCAGAACAAGCCTCAAAAAACCCATTTTTATTCCTATTAACACTTACGAGAAGTACTGAGGGTTTTATTCATTTCTCAGAAATACATATTTGCCAGAACACCCCTAAACAGCCACACCAGCCTACCTCAGTGTTTTGTAAATGCAGATTCTGCTACAGAGGGGGTCTCTGGCTGCCAGAGGCAGGGCTGGGGGTGGTCATCAATATTGAACTAACTCCTCACCCTTGCGCAGCGAGACCCTGTGAAAGTTACCTCAACCTGGTCACAATCCATCTGGACACCAACCTTCTCTTGTTCCTAGAATTCTCTGAAAGGAGTGCTCTAGCACACAGGAGAAGGAAAAGGAAGAGCTGATTTCTTGCAAAAGCGGTGCGCTGACCAGAGGCAGCTAAACCTTGGACCTGGACAGCCAGAGGAGCTCGCCATTGGCGCGACTGTCGTGCGACTGTCCCCAGAGCTCACGTGTGTGAAGCCGGCGTGGGAGAGGCGACTCTTGTGGGCGAGAAGCGCCCCACTTGTCCTGCAGCCCCGCGGAGAAGCACCGGGGCCCGCACCCCATGGCCCTCACCACCCCGGGCCCTCCGCCAGGGGCCTCATTCGCGCCTGCAGCCAGTCTCTGCCCTGCCCTCCGGGGCGGCTTTCGGCCTCTGGTCCCGAAGGTCACACGGCCGAGCTTCTTCCCCTTGCTCATCCTCATCCTCATCGTCATCGTCATCGGAAGCGTCGTTGTAGAAATGGATGGTCGCCTGCACCGGGAAACTCGCCAGGACCTTCTCCCCCGAGCTCTGCAGGTATTCTTGACGCTTTGAAACGGGTAAATAAAGTCTGGTGTTCAAGAAAGAAACACATCGTTAATCCACCTGAAGCCCTCTCAGCCCCACATGGGGACTCTTCCCTGGAGGCAGCTGCCTCTCCATCTTCCTCTTTCTCTGGGGTGGGCCTCCCCGCCCCCCCCCACACACCACCTCTGCTAACCACCTGGGCGGAGGGGCAGTTGGAGCCCCTGGGAAAGGAGCTGTGATCAGAGTGGACCACCCGGACAGGGGCTTCCCTGGGGGCAGAGGGCAACGCAGACATCAAATACCAAGATTAAGGGGCCACTCTGACCAAGTGGGGGGCCTGATTCTTCCCACTTGAGGTTCTGGGTTAGGGCCCAGGAGCCCGGACCGTGAGCAAAGTGTGAGACGCCTGGAGCTCGAGAGGGAGGTGGAGAGAAGCAGCCGATTTTCTGGATGCCTCCATAAAGAAGTTCTTTTAGCCTCAAAAGAACATGATAAAGGCGGCCCTCCCTGGTGGCGCAGCAGTTTAAAGCGCAGCACTGCAAGCTGGCCGCAGACACTTCAGTGCAGGTTCTAGCCCCGGCCAGGGAGTGAGCCACATGGGTCACTGACCTGCCCGCTGCTCCCCTCAGCAGTGTACTTTATCCAGCTGCCTGTTCTTCTCCCCACTGTCTCTAGTGAATCCTCTCACTGCCCCTACTCCTCTGGCCTGTACCCCAGTTCTGTATACATAAATAAATACATCTTAAAAAAAAAAAAAAAAGAATATGGTAA